TATATAGGTGTGGGTGTGCAGAGGCGTGCGTGCGGTGTACCTATGTGTTGCAGAGGAGCATTTGAACGGATTTACAGGAAATTATCAGCAATACTAGGCGAAAGAATTTATTGAAACTCTCCAAGTGCCTGTTGGTATAGACGGGCGTTTCACCTGTCGATGGTACGGCGAGCCTGTATTGCCGTGAGCTGATGTGTGACGTCATAATCGCGTGCGCAGTGCGCGCGAGATCGCGAGAATACGAGATTGGTCGGCTGCGATTGGTGACTACGTTGGTAACGAGCTGAGAGCGTTAGAGCGACGTTATCGACGTTAGAGCTCGTCGGCTGCTGAAATCGTCGGCTCGTCGGCTGCTGAAATCGTGATGCGACGCCGGCGCCACCTATGTATATATATATGTATGCGCGCGAAGTGAATCGGCAGCGAGGCAGGTAATATCTTAGGTAGGCGTAAGACCTACGGCAGCATCCGTTCGCGCATGCGTGGATGCACGTGCACGGCTGCTATGTAGAATTGATTGCGCATGATAACAGCACGACCTATAATTCATGTCTCTTCTCGGGACGTCGTAGGAAGGAACAACTGTGGCCAGTCAGCCGTCCGTGAGAGCGTGTGCTAGGCTAATACCGTTTTATTTATATCATCGTAATTTTACGACGTAGCGCTCGCGGCCCTCCCTCTTTACGTAATACGAACGGGTAGAACAAGCAACACGTGACGTAGTGAATACCACCAGGCGGTTAAAAATTATTTGCATACATCGATAGAGGTCTCCGCGAGCATTGTTCGTTGATATATCGTCTGCTTGTGTAGTGACGTGCGCGCTCGCGTGCACGTGAACGCGGCCGTTGAATTTTCAGCGAATTTCTAAAAGCAAGCAGGTTAATGTTTTTCTTCGGGTTAGTATCCGTGATCGTCTGAATGTGTGGTGATGTTAATGGAGCGGAATCGCATATATTTGCGCTCAATTACTGACGTAAAGGACGAACAGACACACACGCGCGCGCATACATACACGCGAGCACACACACACACACACACGGACGCCCGCGCGCAATACCACACGCATACGCGCACACATACATGTACACACGCTACACACAAACACACACGCGCATACACACACACACACACACACACACACACACGTGCGCGCGCGCACGCACACACACGCACGCACGCACGCACGTCCGCACGCACGCACGCACGCACGGCTCGACTTTTAGATATGGCAGACGAGTGTTTTATGGGTCGTAACCGACTCCCCGTCTCTCGAAGAGGCTGTAACTCCGTTAGCAGCACATATAGCTACGGCTGGGATGGCCCGTAGATGTGTCAGCAGGTGATCAGGATTTCAGGGAGCATGACGCCAACGACGAGTGAAATATTTTTCCGTGACGTCACGCATCGACAGTACCACATCCCCCGCGCGATCCGCAGTCGCATATAGAACACCGAACGCGACTGTCTGAATCCGTACGCGTGGTGCTGCATCTGGTACCAGCAACATCGCCGTCGTCATCGTCATCGTCATCGTCATCGTCATCGTCATCGTCATCGTCATCGTCATCGTCATCGTCATCGTCGTCGTCTTCGTCATCGTCGCCAGTCAACGCTGGTTACGTCATCTCGAGTCGTTTCCTCATTGCTTCTCGTTGTCGTTTCAGCTCCTGCCGTTGAACAAGGCAAGTCAGTGCTCAGCAGCAGCAGCAGCAGCAACAACAACATCAACAGCAGCACCGTTCACGGAGCCGACAGCATGAACGTCGTCAACGTCAGCGAGCTAGCGCCGCCGCCGACCGACTATAACTTGTCGACGGTGGCGACGCCGATGCGCTGCGGCGACGGCAACTGGACGTCGGCGTGCGGCGGCAACGACACGTGGCCGACGGACGTGTGGGCGAACGCGAGCGTCGTCGTCGACGACTCGCAGGTGTTCACGCTCTGGCAGATCGTCGTCATCGGCGTGCTCGTCGGCGCGCTAAGTCTGGCGACGGTGTCCGGAAACATTCTCGTGCTCGCGTCGTTCTACGTCGAGCGCTCGATCCGCCAGCCGACGAACTACTTCATCGCGTCGCTCGCTATCAGCGACTTGCTCATTGGGCTGCTGTCGATGCCGCTCTACACGCAATCGCTCGTGCTCAAGGGCTGGCGACTCGGGCAGCTCGTCTGCGACATTTGGCTGTCGGTCGACTACACGGTGTGCCTCGCGTCGCAGTACACTGTCCTGTGTATCACCATCGATCGCTTCTGCTCGGTGAAGTTTCCGGCGCGCTATCGCAACTGGCGCACACAGAACAAAGTGCGCTGGATGGTCGTTCTCAGCTGGCTCATACCGATGGCGCTCTTCTTCACGTGCATCTTTGGCTGGCCGTACTTTGTCGACTTGGGCGTGCGCGACACGAGCCAGTGCAGCGCCGACTTTCTCAATGACCCGGTGTTCAACACGATACTGATCTTCTCCTACTACTGGGACTCGCTGATCGTGCTTACCGTGCTCTACATCGGAATCTACAAGGTCGCCTGGCAGCTGCAGAAAAAAAGCGAGGCGAAATACAAGAGGATGACGTCGATGGTGGCGATGGCCAGCGGTCATATGACCAAGGTTGGCATTGGCATCTCGAAGACGCAGGGCACGCTTCTCGATCCGGACAGCAAGGTGAAGGGCGGAGCAGCGGGAAACTCGAACGCGAGCAGTACGAACAACAAGACGTCGTCGGGGAAGAGCGCCACGGAGACGACCAGCTTCGCGTCGAAGCAGGACGAGTCTCAGCAGGAGCGCTCGAGCAGCCCCGTCTACCCGTCCGACCAGGAGGACGACTCCAGCTCTGACCACGCACGCACCGCCTCTCAGAAGAAAACACCGCCGAAGGAGGGAAAGCACAAGGAGGGCGGCAAGGCGACGAAAGCCGACAAGGCAGCAGCGAAGAGAGCAAAACCGTCGTCGGCTCAGAAGAAGATGCTGAAGATCAGCCCGCCGCCGGTGAGCGCCAACAACGTCGACGTCGCCGTCGTGTCGGCGAAGGGCGCTGCTACGAAGATCGACGACGTTGCCACGCCTCCCGCTCAACCCGCCGACGCCAACGCACAGCTGAACGCCACCACCGGCGGAGCTCAGGAGGGAAGTCCTGAACGCGCGCAGAGCCTTAGCTACAAGACCGACCAGGAGAGCGTGCAGTCGCCGTCGACCGAAAGCTTCCGTACGACGTCGGTGCCGCTGTCGCCCAATTCGGCGCCGTCGTCGAAAGAGCCAAGCCCGATGCCGCGAGAGGGCAGCCCGTACGCGCGCGACGGCAGTCCGATGCAGAAGGAAGGCAGTCCGACGGTGGTAACGACGAAGGGTAAGGGTAAGGGTGCCGTGACACGCGTCGCCAAGCCCGACGAGGTGGCGCTACTGAAGGAGGTGACGCCGCCGCGCTACAGCGGCGACGACAACGTGACGAACGGCAAGACGGTGAGTCCGGAGCGCAGCACGCTTCTCAGCCTCAAGCTGAAGATTCGCGGAAAGAAAAAGGAGAAGGCGGCAAGCAGTAAGGCGACGAAGCGCGAGAAATCCAAGTCGGAGAATCGCGCGCGCAAGGCGCTGCGGACTATTACGTGCATCATGGGCGCCTTCGTGCTCTGCTGGACGCCCTGGCACATATGCGCGACGATCCTCGGTTTCTGTCCGACGTGCGTCAACGCCGACCTCTACTCGTTCTCCTACTGGCTGTGCTACATGAACAGTCCACTGAACCCGTTCATGTACGCTCTCGCCAACGTGCAATTCAAAAAGACCTTCGTGCGAATGTTGAAGGGCGACTGGAAGAGGCGGTAAGGCGGCAGGTGGCGCGCATGCAGCGCTAAATGATCCTGCCGACCGCGCCGACGTTACCAGCCGTCATTAAGCAAGTGGTCGGCAAGTGGCGTGCCCAGTCGTCGGCAGCCGACGTGCCTAGAGTTCGTCGGGCGCGTCCGTAACAACAAACTTTTCCCCGTGTCGGGGGAAATATTGTAGAACGCATCTATCACGGTGACATATAGCGTCGTCCTAGATCCAACCAAGCGCCGGCGAGAGAATGTCTCTCGTCTTCTTTGGGTCATTCTTCGTTCGAACACAAACCGATAGAACGCGGATAGATTGGCTGGCTCCGAGCAACTTTCGAGATCACGCTCGATTCCGATCCGATTCGAATTCGATTCGAATCCGATTCGTTCCGATCCTTTCTGTTCCGATTGGGATCACCTTCGATTCCGATCTGATTCGAATTCGATTCGAAAACGATTTGTTCCAATCCTTTTCTGTTCCGATTGAGATCACATTTGATTCCGATTCGCATTCGAATCCAATTCGTTCCGATCTCTTTCTGTTCCGATTGGGATCACATTCGATTCCGATCCGGTTCGAATTTGATTCGAATCCGATTCGTTCCGATCCGTTTCTGTTCCGATCCGTTTCTGTTCCGATCCGTTTCTGTTCCGATTAAGATCACATTCGATTCCGATCCGATTCGAATTCGATTCCGATCCAATTCGAATTCGATTCGAATCCGATCTGTTTCGATTACCGTTACTCACGCGTTGCGAGACGGCAGGGTACGAAGTACGAATACTGCAAGCACAGCTATATAATTCTCCTGTTAGACATACCGGTTAGCAAGGGTATCTCGCGCGGTGTCCATCTGTTGATAGTGTAAAAAGTTAAATGTTATTTTGTGATACCGTGTTTATCGAAAGCCGTTCGATGCCTGGTGTAGATCTGTTTCGCCGCGGCGCCATCCCGATCTGACATGTACAGCGGTTAACACACGCGACACACACGCAACGTTTTGTTTTGGTGTATCGCTATTCAACATACAAAAGCTCTGCGTTTGTCGATTTATGTCGTAGGTGATACGCGAGTCCCGTGGCGCGAGTGCACGTACGGATTTGCATCTCCGCTTTTCGCGTGCATAGATTTTTATTGAATCGGCCCGTATTAGTCACGTGGACCAAATAATAATGACGTAATGTGCGCCATATTGTTCACGTGACCGCCACGTGATTTTCACGCACCGATTCAATTTAACATGTGCGTTTGAAATATGCACGTAGCGCGATTCGACTAGAAGAGCACGCGTGTTCGTATTGAATAGTGATATAGCTTTACAGATAACGCCTCTTGTGCCTCGTGATACAACATGGCACACTACAGAGCATGTTGGTGTACCGCACGATTATCGCCATGAGGCACAAATATTTGTGTCACAGTGTGTGTGTGTGTGTGTGTGTGTGTGTGTGTGTGTGTGTGTGTGTGTGTGTGTGTGTTTCTTTTTCTTTCTTTTCCTTCTCTCTCTCTCTTTCTCTCTTTCTTTCTCTCATTTCTTTCTTTCTACTACCACTCTCTCTCTCTCTCTCTCTCTCTCGCTCTCTCTCTATCTCGCTCGCTTTCTCTCTCTCTCTATCTCTCTCCTCTCTCTCGCGCTCTCTCTCTCTCGCTCTCTCTCAGTCTCACTCTCTCTCTCTCTCTCTCTCTCTCTCTCTCTCTCTCTCTCTCTCTCTCTCTCTTTCTGCCTCGCTCTCGCTCTCGCTCTCTCTCTCTCGCTCGCTTTCTTTCTCTCTCTCTCTGTCTCGCTGTCGCTCTCGCTTTTTTCTCTCTCTCTTTCTCTCTCTATCTCGCGCGCTCTCTCTCTCTCTCGCTTTCTCTCTCTCGGTCCTTGGAGACACGCGTTCGTGCACTTATCGCGCGCTCTCAATCCGCCCCTCGATCTAGCGAGGAGAACACAATCATATTTCTCACGCAGCACTTGAATTAGCCAGGCGCATCAGCGGCGTATTCAATCACTAGCAGGGGAGGCCGCACTCAGATACGGGTGGTTGTACGTAGGCTGATCACAGTCTTCTGCCGTGTAGTCCGCTGCTTTGTAATCCGCACATTGTCAGCACAGCGCGCGTGCGTGTAGGTGCGTACGTGCGCGCGTGCGTGTAGGTGCGTGCGTGCGCGCGTGCGTGTGTTTACGTGAATATGCGTTTGTTTGTTTGTGTGTGTGTCTGCGCGCGCACGCGCGCGTGTGTGTTTATGTGTACGTTTGTCTGTCTGTGTGTATGAGTATGTGCGTCCGTGTGTGTATGTGTACACAAAACGATCATTAAGTTAGGAGTATGGCGTGAGAGCTGTAGGCAAAACAGCGAGGCGTGACATCACATGTACATACCAAATGCTTATTCAAACAGCTTATACACAACATGTTGAAAATGTTCGACAGCAGCTCCATCTATGAGCCGCTAGACGAATTAAACATCCTGAGCACAACGCCTGCATGCGAACGCATGTAATAGTAGTATACCTAACGAACACCACGAATAGTAGTATACCTAACGAACACCACGAATAGTAGTATACCTAACGAACACCACGAATAGTGGCATATATACCTGATGCGAAATTTTGCGTGACGAATAATGCGACACGCCGCATGTCTTAGGAAACATGGCGGCCGTGATTTTCCCGCCTGCGATCACCGATCCGCCGCAAACGACCGCCGCGTTCGCCGATTTCAAATTCGCGAGAAACACGGGACAATCCATTATCATGAGTCTAATTGAGACGGCATGCCGCCGGACCGCGTACTGCGCGTAGGCGTAGATACACTAGCGCGCGTTTTTCTCCATTTATATGCAAATTTGCAATCTCCCGCGAGAGAGCGACTCTATATAGGGAGAGCCGATCGCGCTGAGCAGCGGTAGGAATATCAATTGCGATGGAAACGCGTTGAAATCTTAACCGCATTAATGATGAGCGTGGAAGGGGGGCGATGTTCGTACACAAGCTCTATAAGCTCTCCTATCGCTTGACATTATTCGACGCGTTGTTCCTCTTCACTGCATGCTCTCGTCGTGCGCTCGCAAAAAAAATGCTCGGCGCGTGCAATTTAAAAACGATTTGGACATGTTATTATACGTCGACACGATAGGGCGCGCGCGCCGTACGTCTCGCAAATAGGCTATAAAACAATGTAAACGGATTTCGATCAATAGCAAAGCACGAAATTGCACTCAATAGTAATGATGAATAGTGCCGAGTACATGTTAAGGCGACGAAACATGAGCAAATAAACATTCCTACACTTCGATATTGACCGATCTTTGGTTGAGCTTTGGAGTTCTATCCGAGTTGCCAAGCGTAGGCTTACCTGCATCAGTTTTTATACGTCTTGTGTCAGATGCATTTGCTGCACTGGCGTATAATTCCGGCATAGCTTCTTAGTACGAGGATCATATGGCATATATAACGATTAGTGTTTGTTTAACATCAACGTTTAGCGCATGTTTAATGAGATTTCTAATAAACGAATTCATTCTGTCTAAATATCCTTAATAATTAAGAGAGCATTCCGCAATCATATGTCTCTGCGGTAGCAAGTTTAAATCGACGCAGAAACAAATTCTTCAGCATTCTGCCTTCGCCAACTGTCTATACGCTACGCTAACATCTGATATGATCAACAACTCTTCACTGTACAATCAAAATCCATGTCATTCACGTATAGTGACGTCATAGGGTTCTCTTTATGGCATTTAATTGACATCATTATCATCACCATTGTTACATAACTATTATTATTATTACTATTGTTTTCTATGATTATTATAGTTGCCGATGCAAGAGGAGAGAAATATACACGGATGACGGTGAGACGGAGACAGTTGAAGAGGAGTTTGTCATATGCTATACCTCGCGTGTGTAACGAAATGTAGCGATCTGGTAGGAAGAGGGAATAGCATCCACGTGCTAAGCATTCACCGTCATCGTACAAAATAGTTTCAGTAGATGGCGCTGGTTACCCGTGCACGAGCGTAGAGTAGCTTGTCGCGCAACATACCTTCCTTCCCCTCGCCCGTGACCTTCACATGACATTGTAGAACTCGACGCCTATCCGCGTCGATAAATATGCGACGGGACATTTGTGTGTCCTGCCCGTAGTGTTTTTTGTACAATTTTCGAGCATAGTGGTTGATGCACTGAACGAGAAATGGCGGCGGTTATAGGAAAATGTGCTATTATTGTAGTAATGACGCACGCGGTCACGTGTTAAATGATTTGTGCACCCTACTGCACATGCGCGTAGTATATAGTTGCCTGTGGACCGCCATCACATCTACGCTTTACTTATAATAAACGAACTATAGACTGTGTCGTGCGAGTTTTTACTGACGCGCGAGATATGTAGCATCTCCTGAGATTATGTCCCTCAAGCGTCTGCGTTGCCGACGTGAACGCCATCTAACGGTGAGCAAACACATCTACATTACCCCTGTTGTACATTCGTCGCCACTTCCGCAGAACGTCTGTAGGAGTTTCCGGCGCCAACTGTTTGCGCATGCGCATGCAGGTGAGGCGATGACGTCACACGAACAGCGACTACCATAAACGAACATATTTCGTTTAGCGTCCGATTTCTTTCGCGGTCTCGTCGCGTCATCGATAATTATGCAAATGAGAAGCGGACTCTGATCAATAACGAACGAGGCGGAGCTCTATAGTTTCATCAGCGTTTTACCAACAGGTTTGATGCATCGACGACTCAGAAAACCCAGTGATTGAGTTTTCATTTGTTGATTGGTTCTTGCGCTGCGCGTCGCGTAATGTGCCGTTTCTTTTGACCGAAGAAACTGCGCCACGTTATTGTAATACTACATAACTTGACTAGAAAAATGTATTGCTCCCATGTATAAACCACCCAACAATCTTTCACCGGACACTTTGTGTCGATGCTGCGATAAATAATCAATGGGTTTTATTATAGCTGACATAGGAGTGCAGCCGCCATCTTGGATTGCAAACGAGATATTGGGGGACTGTAAGTTCTAACAGCCGATTCATTTGTGAAACAACAAAACGTGATTGTCTTGCAATACCGTTAGACATCCTATTTGTCGGTGCATTTGCAGTCTTCGTAAACCCGTGTAGGCTTATATACGCTCAACCGTTCCTCGTGGGTACTGTTACCAACTGTAAGCGTCTCTAGATTGTTAAGAGACTTAACCATTTATATACAGATATACAGGCATCTATAGATGGTCTATTTGGAGACGAGGCGATACTTTTAACAGACGCCGTCATATTCTGCGTCGATATGATTTCGACCAGTTGTCTGGTTTCTCTGTGCGAGTGCACGTAGGCCTACATGCGTGCGTGCGTGCGTGCGTGCGTGCGTGCGTGCGTGCGTGCGTGCGTGCGCGTACATGTTCGTTTATGTATTAGGGTGTGTGCGTGCAGGTGTGTTCGCAGCTGGATTTGTGCGTGCATGCCTGGTGTGCGTGCGCTTGTATTTTTATGTATAGGCCACCGTGTTTGCTGGTGGTCGTATGCATGCGTTTGTGTAACTGTGGGTGCGTGCGTGCGAGCGTGTGTGTGCATGTGTGTGCATTTGCGTGTGACATCGTGTGCGCGCGCGTGTGTGTGTGTGCGCGCGCGCATGTGTGTGCGTGTGTATCGTTTTGTGTGTGCGTGTGTGAGTATAATATGTGCGCGTGTATGTGCGGGCGTGTCTGTGTGTGCGTGAATGCACGTGGGCGTGTGTGTGTGTGCGTGTGTGCGTGCGCGCTTGTTTATGTGTGCGGGTGTATGAGTGTATGTATGTATGTGTGTTGTTGGTAGGGGGGTGTATGTGGTGTGTGCGTGCGTATGTGTGTGCGTGTGTATGTTTCGCCTGTGTGCGTACGTACGGGCGTGTGCGTATGTGCGTGCGTGCGTGCGCGTACATGTTCGTTTATGTATTAGGGTGTGTGCGTGCAGGTGTGTTCGCACCTGGATTTTTGCGTGCATGCCTGGTGTGCGTGCGTGCGTGCG